ACACACACACACACACACACACACACACACACACACACACACACACACACACACACACACACAACCGAAAACAATCACTGACCTTCCAGTCCCCCGTTACACCATTAGTACTTGATCATGAGCGGGCTGGTGGCAGCAGCCCCTTTGATGTCTCCCTGATACGACCCACCCAGCTGCAGCTGCTCTCAGCTCTATTTTGGGGAAGCTGCTGTGGGCCCTCATAACAGGGCTTCCTTAACACACACATACACACACACAAAAAAAAAAACATGTAAGCGTGTTGATATGTCAAGCCATATCAACAGTGCCTCTAACAGCCCAGCTCCATGCTTTCTCAGATCACACTTCCTTGTAAACTATTTTGGACTCTGAACTTAAYGCAAGAAAAAATATACTTTCTTTTCCTTAAGCATCTGTGTGATTGTCAGGAGGTTAATATGTGCCACASTGAATTTATTTTCTAATTTTTATAAGATGGCAAATGTGCAAATACATACTCATTTTACCCATAATGTATTTTTAACCAGAGGTGGCACAARCTTTGATAAGGCCCCTGAGCAGAAATTGATTTTGGGCACCCTACTCTAAGTAAAACCCATTTTACACCCTTTAATTCAGCCCCACTAATGTCYATTTTTAATCTTGTTCAAGCTTTATTGTTTGTGCATTGTGCACCTAACACAAGTATCATTTATTTTTGAAAGCTAAAAATTAAAGAAAGAAATATACATTAAAAATATGTTTTGATATAGAAGAGRATAAAGTTTTTGACTGAAAGGCACATTTTAACGTGTATTTATGTCGCTTAAATTTCATTAAAATAAATAAATTAATAACAGAACATAGAAATTTAAAAGGTTAGAAGGTGAACAGATGATGTCAGGTTCCTCTTTGATGTTCTCTTTTTCCTTGAGTAAATCATCAGATTTGGGGGTCCATCTGTCTATACAGTTTTAAGTTTGCTCTTATTTGCTCTTGAGGTCACAAGGAGCCACTTAGCTGGCTTGTGCCTCGGGCAGGTTCTGCTTTCACCCACTAGTTTTTCATGCACAGTGTTTTGATTAAGAAGMCTTGACTAAAACCAGGTCAAAGTTGAAGTGATGATAGGGGGGGAGGGAGGGATGTCTTTGGGCCTTTCTCCCAAGAAAAAGAGAGAAAAGCTTGTCACAATCAATTTGAGGGTACTGTTCCTTTTGCCTGCAGCCATTCACCATGCCCAGCAGTTTTTAAATAGGTCTTAATTCTCAGCGAAGCTCTGCTGAGGAAAAGTAAGGGCAAATCACTCATTTCACAAAAGGTAATCTTGTCTAATAAGATTCATAAAATCCTATCGTTTGGATCTTTCCTAAAAATTGAGTTTGTATTCTGCACTTTTTGGCTTTTCTAAAGGGTTTCAAAAATTGCAGTTTTCAAATTACATTTATCTCAACAAAACAATGTTTTAAAAACCTGTGCAGCCCAAAAGACAGAATAATAAAACACAGAAAGAAAATTATGCCCAAATCCTGAGAGAGATCCATTTTAATGAGAACCTCCACTCCGCTCACAATGAACGCTTTGATAGACAGATAAGTGGATGTGACAGCCATTTATTCCTAATAGTTCAAGGCTAATGCATTATGTTGAGGCCCTACTTGTTTGAACCATAATGACTCACTATAAAGAACCTTGTAAAATAATAATAATAAAAAAATCCCTCACTATAATGCACATCACTCAACAAAGACGTGGAAAATCCATTTGAGGCTGGACCTAAAAAATGTGGTGCCCAAATCTGACGCCCTAATCTCACTGCCATACATTCACACACCAATATATTTTTTTCATCTTTAGAAACCAGAACACATTATTTTAATAAACTTCAGTAACCAGTGATTACTCTATAGACTAAACCAGCTACAGTGACTCCAGTCCTCGAGGGCCGCTATCCTGCATGTTTTAGAGGTTTTCCAGCTCCAACACACCTGATTCAGTGATTGAATTAACTCTTCAAATTGGGCAGAAGCCTGTTAATTACCCAGCGATCAAAATCTGGTGTGTTGGAGCAAGAAAACCTCTAAAACATGCAGGATAGCGGCCCTCGAGGACAGGAGTTTGACACCCCTGAGCTACACTATGCAAAATTATGTATATACTGTTTATACACTGCTCAAAAAAAATAAAGGGAACACTTAAACAACGCACGCTAAGTCCAAGTAAATCAAACTTTTGTGAAGCACATTCAACTCTGTACAGAACAAAGTACTCAATGCGAATATTTCATTGATTAAGATCGGGAGTTAGCGTGCATTGTTTAAGTGTTCCCTTTATTTTTTTAAGCAATAGTGTTCCCTCTATTTTTTGAGCAGTGTATATGTTTATGTATACATGTATGTAAATATATATAAATGTATATATATGTATGTAAATATATATAAATGTATATATAT